TTGAGATGTTGTAAGTCATTAGTACCACTTTGTTAGACGCTCAGTTTTCCTCGCCAAGTTTAAATTGCAGTTTCACTGGAACAAACCGTGGTGAAAAACCTGAATACACAGAAGTAATTTTGAAAAAGTCTGACATCTTCTAGTGCTGTTTTGCAGAGTGGAAAGAAATTCTGGGGTACCCTACTACAAAGACAAAAACTGGTTCATCTACCAAGAGCTTTTCGTTTATTGTTTTGAAATACTCAGACTTACGAAGCTCAGCAAGCGAAATCAAATTTTTTGTTGAATCCGATACATTTTTGGACGACATTTCTAATTCTAAACCAAATAAACTAAACAGATGTTTTTTTGCATATAAAAGTGCAGCTAGTAAGCAGAAGAGTCACCGTTGCGATTGCTTTGCCATTATTGTAAGTATTCGCGTTGTGTGGGAGAATAGGGATTCATTTAATGTGGGAAGATGGGAAGGAAGAAAGAGTTGTGGGGGGAGGGGAATGTAGGGGGAGGGCGCTTTCTCGCTAAAGTGGATTCAAATATTACATTAACTTGTGTTTTTCGAGAGCAAACATTTTGTTTTACAGTGGGGAAGATTTTCGACAAATGAAATCTAATTTTTGAATCAATAAAAATCTTAAATGCTTTCCTTATTCATACATTACATTAATTGCATTTCGAGGCAGAATTGTTCGGTTCTGAATTCATATTCCAAAGAAGCTATCAAAATCTCATAAGTACCTACCTCATTTTTGACAAATTGCGGTGGTCTGAATATCTTCGTCAAAATGAATTTTTACCTATGGATAAGAGGTCCTTGACAATGTTGGCTGCATGAATTAATGACAAAGATGAATAGAGCCTTTACATAAGTATAAGTTGGGTGTAGGCCCTTCTGAACCTGCCCCAATCGCGACGGCTATAAGAGGTCAGCGCTAATTAGAGGTCACTCAATGATTGGCTAGCTCGCGGGAGCGAGCGGCTGACCTGGGCAGACGCGCTGCGGTGGCGGACGAGTTTCACATCGCTGGTAACCTACTCCACAACAAGATTCTGGACGTAATTCTCTAGAAAGCTCCTAAATTCCCCAAATTCCCTAGAATTCAAGAACTTAAGTTATTCGCTCTACTCCACACTACTTAAATTGCCGGGCACTTTCTAAGGTGGTATGTTTTTGACCTATGAGAAATTTTCAACGTCTTTTTCGACTTATTTTTTTTTGTTCGATTGCATGCTCTACTCTCGGGTGGGGGACATTAGGTCGCCGAAAAAGGGCGGTCTCTGCGGTCATTTGCGACAAATACCTACCCTTGTACATGCCCGGACATGCGTTCCTGCAGGGAATCCGCGCGGGACTCTTCACGTTTTTCTTATGATGAGTATAAAGTTTTTTTTACACCGTCCATATCAAAAACACAATCAAATAAAAATGCATCACCTTCATTTGGTAGCGTATCTACATGAATTGATTTTGGTAGCGACCTTTTCTTTGCTGCACGCATCATGCTTTTTATAGCGTAAAAATTTCAAATGCACGTTCGTAAATTTTACTAGGAATGAGAAATTTAAGATGATAAATTTCTTGGAAACCTACAGAGATGCACTGAAATGTCAGAAGAAAATACGCATTTGATAACGAATTAGCGTAGATCACCAATTTGAGTTATAATTGGCCTTTATAAAGAGTTGTTACACAAACTTTGATTACGTGGGTTTTCCTCAGTAACATCAAGCAGCTCACATCAGCAATATGATGTGACGATGCACGACGTTATAAGGATCGCACACACAAGGGATATATGTAGAAAAAAAGCAAAAAAAAACAAAGCTCGAAAGAATTCAAAGGAGATTCATGAGAAGTTTTTTTATGGATCATGAAAATGAAAAGACTTCGAAGATGTCCCATAAATCATAAACATACCTGCTGGGAAACAGGGCTCAGAATATCAAACATTCAGAGGATGGTAGCTGTATGGTTGAAATCAGCATGATTGGCTTGCATTCCATAATGCAAGAGCCGCACGAAAGAAGTTGGTGATTTTCGAAAATACGAGCCCTTCGCGGAGCACTCGTCCGCAGTCATCGCAGCGCATGCGCGCGCGTCCTAGTTCTAGATTACTGTAGGGGACGGTGGGTTCAGAAGGGCAGTCTCCCGTATAGGGTATATGTTGGTGTTTGTCAAAAGATCAATGCAGAAATGCGATTTTTCCAGAACCCTTTCAAGCTTAAAAGGACAATAACTATGTAAAATTTCTGCTATGTCAACCACATCAAATTGTTTTGAGTTTACACTATCAGCTATAACTCAATTTTCTTGACCCGCACACTCCTATCAGAACATTACTGTTCAATAGTACAATAAAAGTATCTTGAGCTCACTTTAGTAGTTTCTGTGCTGGGTCAAACGTGTTACTACTTATATCGAAACTTGACATTCTATATTATTTGCTTACAGTTTTGTAACTTCTAGAGCAGAATCGAAATCTTAGTCGATTGCTGATTAAGAATGAGACACAGAAAATATGGAACCAATATTCAAACGCGCGCCTATCATCTTGAATTACTTACAATTGGTCAATGGTGGAATCATAAAAATGTAAATGTTTTTAGGATTTTAATCTAAACCAAACTCCTTGGCAACGGTTTTCCTATTTTGCTTTATAGACTGGAGGTAGTAATTGCTTGAAGCGCCATGGCAATCATGGACCCATTCAAGCTTACAGTATAGCACGTTAAAATTTCTGCTTCAAAAAATTCCCATAACTCCCTTCCCAGAAGATAATTCCCTATGGGAACGCCACTTCGACCAAGCGTCATCTCTTTGTGAGATTGAGAATTGGTTCGGATGTGACGCTCTGCTGTGTAGTCCATCGTAAACCTGACATCTATTTTGGTTTGCATTAGACATTATGCTTCCTCAAATTATTACATAGCATTCGCAAGTGCGGAATATATTTGTAGCAGGAATAATATTGCCGAAAACCTTACTCAAGCTGTATTTTGCAAAAACTTTGTGTCATCTGAAAACTTCCCACAACTTCCCTTCTCGTTCCAACAGTCAAAGAATTGTCTCATCTGTCTTTAAGCTAGGCAGTGATGATGTTTGGCAGATATGTAACATTTTCAAATCGAGTGTCAGACCCGAATGAAGTTGAAACCAAGTTGCTACTATAGTAACGCTGCACACAGATCATTTGATTAGTACATCTATTGGTTCCTTCCAGCATGCACAGTTCAAACGGTCAGTAATGTAAGCTATCCGAATACATTTGATCAAGCTAAGTTTGCTCGTTCAAACTTGGAACTTTCATGGCATTATGAGGAGGAAGGTAATAAACAATTAACCTCTTACTTTAAGAAAGCATATTTTAGTGAATTTTAGGTGGGTTACCATAGTCAATTATGATCAATTCATAGATCATCCAGATAACTTTCGCATTTATGCAGGTGAAGAGCAACCATATATTGGCAGGCCAGTCTGCCTTCACAGAAGCTTGATTGAAATAGACGAAAATTATTAAAGAGCTTTGGTGGGCGCCTTTTACAGAGTGCAGTTTGAAGAGCAAAAAAGATGCGCGATGCGATTATCTGATACCGTGAAAATCGGATGCCAAGTATAGCCTTTTGTAGCACAAAAATCACTCCATACTGTTACAGCTGTGTAACAATCAAAGCTAGCGCGATTTATCAAAGTTTGTGAGGGGTTGGGATAACAGTGAATTGTGAAAGTAGCCGTATAAAATGCCAATTATCGGATTGCTGGCGGTGAGTGACCAAAATAAAGCTACTTGTATAAGGTATTCGTATTTTGCAGACTCAAAAACTTGCGATTAGAGCTTGGATGTTGCTGTATGCTATGGAACATATAAACTTCTTTGCATCGTGTTTATTCAAAGCCAAAGTTACTGATGAGGCAAAATTCAACCACAAAATCATTATGATTTGAATATCTGTGGCTGGAGACGGAAGATATCGAACGAATCTTACTGCTGGACCCTAACCTAGGTGAGAAAATTGGCTCAGAAAAGAAACTAACGTTTTCATCGCCATTATTCGAATGACTACATGCTTGGATCTGCAATATTTGATATAGAGTAATCAAAGTTGAATACGATACGCTCGTAAGAGCGCTAGCTTCGATAGGAAGATCTTCATGTTAATCGACAACGATAAATTCTCTTCACTAACAGTGGCTTGTAACTGGTCTCTAATCATCATCATTTGTAGCTGTGATCAATCCCGTCAATTAAAATACCCATAAAAACTTTTATTGAAGATAGATACGACGAAATCGAGAAGAGGTCCTGCAGCTTCACGTATGGTAGCATAGCATTTAGCATCAAACACCGGAGTGAAAGAAGCTAAATTCGGTACTTTTCGGAAACTAGGGCTTCTGGAAAGCTGAAAATTTACGGTTATATTTTTAAGGGCATGTAGTATACAGCTACATATCATCAAGAAACACCATAGCTCCGTTTTTATAAAAACAAGAAAATTTTCGTTCTCAATTTCTAGATTAAGAAAAAATAGAGCAACGGTAAGTATGAGTGTCTGATATAGTGTGCAATTTTTACGAGCAAACTGGAGACTCGTAGAATTTTTTCAAACAGATAGGAATTTTTCGCGATTTTTTTAGCATTCAGTACGACTCAGATTTTGAACACAAACTTAAAGTGAGTCGAAGTTGGTGCGAACTTTTGCATAACTTCCTGTAGAGCTTGCTTTGCTCTATCCAACAGTACTCTGGAGCCTTGCAAAGAATATGAGGTGCATGACTTATCGCCGTAAGAAATTGATGTGTAACAAGGCTTACGTAACAAACTAATACAACTGTAAATTTTTAGCTCTCTACGTATAAGTTCTGGTTTCCAATGAGTGTTGCGCTAAGTGTGAAAAATCCAAGTGAGAAAAGCCAAATCCGATATTTCTCGGGAACTAGAGCTTAAAGAGAGCTAAAAATTTACGGTTTTA